ATGAGAATGCACATTGCTGGTTGAGATTCTACTTGCACTGCATTGTCCATTCAGTCCTTTTCATCACATTGCGGATCCTCGGTTTCTATGTACATTGCCCAACTGGGCATGTAACAGTTGGTATCGGAGCACCGCACGTGAATCAGGACAACCTGATCTGACACGTGTGCGGGGACTAAATGGCTGATTAGTCTTTGTTTATTGATTAGAGCACATTAGTTAGACCCCCAAATCACGATTTTGACCTTACTGCCGAAAATTGATTTTTTTTTTCTTTTCTTGGATTTTGTTTTCTCGCTATTCTGTTGTGGAAAATCGTAATAGCGCAACATCTGAAATTCCCATTTTCGTTTCTCTTCTGAAAATTCGAAAATTCGTTGTTGAAAATCCGGAATATCCTTCTTTTCGAAAATTTCGATTTCCTGTTGCATTTCCCATTACTTAGAAATTCGGAATATCTTCTTTTTCGAATTTCGTTTTTCTGAAAACGGCACGGGAAATCCCTCCTGCAGGTATTATTTTCCAAACTGCGAATATTCTCATCTGAGAAAATCCGAATATTTGTCATTTCTTTTCGGAATTTTTTTTTTGCAGTTCTAGGATTCTGTTAGTCAGTTCTATACAGCACCAGCATGACGAGGCAGCAGCAAGGGCTGCCGATGAAGAAAGAAACCAACGTCGTGAGAAGATATTTAGCGGAGAGCAGACTTTAGCGAATTGGAGGATTGCGAAAACAAGATCGCTCTCCTCCTCTCGCATCTAACAGACCTCCAGGCTACATGCATTACATAGTAGGAGGATATCCATAGCCTCGACGACTCGCTAGCTCAAGTCCAAAACCGCCTTCAGCAGCTGGAGCAGCGACCAGTCGCCGCCCCGGACGCCAGAAGTTGAATTTTTTTTCTTTCTTTGATCATTTCGCACTTCAAGGGAGGTTGGGAGACCTACTGAACTTGCAAAACTCGGGACTTTATTATTCCGAATTTGTTTTTTGCAAAGTTCAAACTTTTCTTTTTTTGATTAGCGACTCTTTATGTGGGCGATTCTCCCCACCCACCCTCCCAACCTATGTTGTTGCCCACTCTGGCCGTCCCTTCTCTATCCATCTCCGGGTACCCCCTGCGACGACATTGGTGAGTTCCACGTCAGCAGGCCACGTCAGCAGACTATGTCAGCAGGACACGCCAGCAGACCACGGCAGCAGGCCACGTCACCAGGACACATCAGCAGGCCACGTCAGCCGATAGAGCAGGAAATACCACGTCAGCAGGCCCCCGGCCTGGTATATGCTGTCGCGGTCACATACAGCCGTCATGGACCAGAGGTCCGGAGAATTAGACGAGGCCTATCAGTCCCGGATGCTGGCTTGGAGTACYGAAACAAAGAAACGGGCGGATGACGCAGCAGCAGCAGTGAAGAAGAAGGCAGAGGATGTCGAGCAGGCACGTCTGCTGGCACAGCCGCGCGAGACAACTCCAAAGTTTGACGGGCAGGAGATCTTCTTCGACTCGACCAAGACAGATCCGGTTCCATGGTTCCGCAAGTTCGAGCTCACGCTGCAGCTCCACAACGTCCAAGAACACAAGCACCACGCATACTTGTACTCTCGCTCAGGGGTCGCGTGCCGGGCTTGGTTGGACAATCTCTTGTCCAAGTACGGAGTGGTAGCCAACGACTTGCACACCAAGATCAGTTGGGATGATCTGAAGGCGGCGTGGGACAAGCGGTTCCAAGTGGAGCCGCCCAAGATCAAGGCTATGGACAAGCTCATGGTCTTCGAGCAAGGCACGTTGCCGAGTAGCGACTGGATCGCCGAGTACCAACGCTTGACGTCAGTCCCAGACATCCAGATTGGCTTCAAAGCCATCCGCCACTACTTCATCTCAAGGTCATGTCCGACATTAAGCAATGCCTTGACTCGTGTCGAGGACACCTTGACGACGATGGCGGAACTTTTTGACAAGGCCGTGCAGATCATCATTACGAACAAGGAGGTTAAGAACCTGCGTTCGTCTGCAACAGGCCCGAGCAGGGACCAGCATCGACCAAGAGTGGCCGTGGTCGCGGCAGCAACGCCGTTTGACCAAACCAGCGAGGCTGTGTCTGCCAGTGAAGGGGACAGACTCGCAGCCGCTCGGGAAGGTGGCCGCCCTGGCAGAGGCTAAGGACGCGGCAAGACGAAGACACACACCGCATTTAGCCCCGGGCCCGGCGCAGCAGCTCCAGCCCCTTGGTCCCAGTACGACATCTCCGAGCAAGCGTTCAAGGCGCGCACGAGATTCCACTATTGCTTATGGTGCAACAGGTCTGCCTATTGAAAGGCAAAGGCCAACAGGGAAACTGAGCACCGCCGAGAGTGACTCGACGACACTCTCGACGCCATCGGAACCGGTCTCTTCTCGAGTGACCGGCCTTCATTCCGAGGCGATAGTCCTCTTCTACTTTCTTTTGAGGACTATGCTGCCCGGCTCGTTCCTACGCTGGGTACTCAAGCTAAAGGACAAGAAGTGTGTGTTGTTTCTTCTCCGTCCAGCACCGACGACATATCGTCTTCAAGTGGTTTTTCACGGGAATCGACGCGCGAGTTCAACATAGAGGTATTGGACCCGCTCACGTCCGAGGACTATGCATGGCTTCCTCTCCCGACCACGGGCAGTCTGTCGGGACCGCAATGCGCAGCACTATGCGCTCATCTCCACACTTACTTATCCTTCTATGCACCACCTACTTCGCCGACGGATGACGAAGTCGCGGTGGGGAACATCCTTGCGTATACTACCAAGGTGGCCCGCGAGTTTCGCACGCAGCGGTACGATAACAACAATGCACCGCTCATGTATGTCCGCATTCAAGTTGGGCAAGTGTCCTGCAGCGCTTTGCTGGATAGCGGCGTGTCTCGCAATTTCGTGAGCCAATCCTTTATGCAAAGGGCTGGCCTTGGTGCACAAGTTCGTAGGAAGGCAAACCCGACGGCGATCAGGTTGGCGGATGGAAAAACACAGCAACTTCTCGACCGTTACATCGAGGCCGTACCGGAGGGCATCGAGAAGTTGCTGTAGGGCGCAGCACTCTGGAGGGCGCTGCAGGAAGCAGTACTAGTTAGCCTTTAGTCTTCAGCGCTGGGCGCAGTAGGTAGCTGTAGTCTCCAGCGCTGGGCGCCATAGCTAGGATAGCACTAGAGCGAGAGAGAGATATTGGGGGGAGGCCAGAGGTACTTACCTACAGCGCCGTTGCTCCAGCTTCGTCTTCGAGGTACCTGCAGCACAGCGCCAACATCACAGGTTAGTATCTGGCTCGTAACAGAGAGATAGAGTTCTTCTTCTTCCTCTTCTCAGTCCACCGTCTCCTTCTGCCCCTCTCATCATCTGACTTCACTGTATCTGCGGACGACGAGAGAAGAGAGAAAGAGCTTGGTGACATCGGATCCAGACTCGACTTTTGGACTTCAGACATTGCAACGAGGGATCATTTGGGACTTGTGACAAGACTTGGTGTTAACGACATTCCCATCTCTCTCCCTCCTTTCGTCTGATTCCCTCCTCTTCGTCTGTGTATGTCTGGACCTGGCGCTTTCTTCCTGTGTACAGCGCCAGGCTCCTTCACACCTGGTGATGGATACGATGTATGTTTGG